TTCTCTCTCAACCATGTAATTTGTTTCTCATTCACTATCATTCACTTTATAGTCCTTAATCATATTAACTGTTTTTCATTCACTCCATCAGCTTCTTCAACCTCACACTTTCTTCTTCTTCTTGGTAATCCTCCTTCTCTCCCTATCTCTCTCTTTCCTTCCTTCTGTCTGTCTGTCTCTCTCTCCCTATCAATTATGGAAAGGTAATGTAAACATGTATACCATTAATATGCAGACTTGAAATAGAAACTTATGCTCATACAATCAGAACATGATAGATACCAACTGTATTGATTTCGATAACATAATAAATAGATATACAGGGCGTCCCACACAAGAAACGTCGTATATGAAAAATCATTGTGAAGCGAAAAGGGCGTCCATACACACACACACACCCACACACACTATCGCGCGCGGTCACGTTAAAGGACAAGTCCACTCGAAAAATAACTCACTTTCAATAAAAGCAGAAAAAATTAGACAAACCAATCAAAAAAGGTTTGAGCAAAATCGGAAAACTAATAAGAAAGTTATGAATTTTTGAAAAAGTATGTAAAACTATGGAACAATGAGAATCACAACACAAATTGCCAAGATCGTTATCAGTTTGTGACGTCATGTCCTCACAACTTATCAATTGCTTTATATAGTTTAATCCCACTAATTTCCCTTTTTATCCCCCAAAACTTGATTTCCCCATGCCTTTGCCCAAGTTATATGATTTGTATCATATTGCGTGCATGACATTTCCCAGAATTGTGTATGAATTTTGAAGAATTGATACTATTTTCTGAATATTGTATTTCATAATTATTGATTTTTATATAAATAGTTTATCAAAATTCAATTTTTCATGATTTAACTGGACACAAATTACTCTTCATTTGTGCATCCACACAAAAACATATTACTCACAATCTAACTTGGATGCTGGTGTGAAGAAATAAGATTCTTAGGGTGAAAATAGGAAATTTATATTATCAATAAAAAGAAAATAATTAGTGGATAGTGAGGACCATACGTCACAGACTCATGAGTGAGTTGCCAAATTGTTTGAGATTTTCAAAGTTTTTCATGTCATTACAAATTCATAACTTTCTTATTAGTTATCCGATTTTGCTCAAACTTTTTTAGATTGGTTTGTCTGATTTTTCTGGTTCTATTGAAAATAAGTTATTTTTGGAGTGGACTTGGGCTGTAAGCCCCGCCTAGTTATACCGCTCTAGTTCGACCATACGTCCACACACAACACATCAAGTTCTAGTTCGAAACGATGCACGGACCTGCGTTTCGTTATTCGAATTTTATACGACGTAAAAGCGTACACACACATAATCTGATCGTATGGCTAGAATTTGTATTGCCCATTAAAGTCAGTACAGATATTCTTTAAGTACCATAATCTTTTCGCGATTATATGATCAGTGTGAAGATAATGCATCTATGTTTCTAAAACCAACTTTAAACTCTGAGATCATCGATATTGTAGCATTTTTGAAACCATCTAAATCTAGTGGTTCTGATGATATTTAACCTATAATTATAGAAGAGTGCATTCACGTTTTTATTGATCCCTTATGTAAAATCATTAATATGTCTTTATCTCAGGGAGTTGTTCCTGTTAAGCTCAAGGTATCTAAAGTGGTATCAGTGTATACAAAATCTTACCGTAAAAATATAATTAATTATAAGCCAATAGCATTGTTACCGCTTAGATGAGTTTCTATCTAAAAAGAGTATCTTGATTCCTCAGCAGTGTGGTTTTCGTCAGCACTTTTTCCACACAAATGGGTGATTTTAATTTATAAGTTATGTCATAAAAGCTATTGATGGAGACATTGTCTGGGGATATTCTTAGATCTATCTAAAGCTTTTGATACCATTGACCATGGTATCCTCCTCATGGAACTTGAGCATTATGGAATACGTGGTGTAGCATTGTCTTGGTTCCAAAGCTATTTGTTTAACATGACTCAATTTGTTGTGGTGGATGGTATTAATTCCCAACTTGCTTCTATTAGATATGCTGTACCTCAGGGTTCTGGTCTTGGTCCCCTGTTGTTTTTAATTTCATACTCATTTTTGCTGATGATACCAGTTTACTGCTGGTCGATAAGAAGGCTGAAGATTTATTACTAATTAAAATCAAGAGATTCAGAAACTGTTTGCATGGTATTGTTGTAATGAGTTATTGTTGATTGTTCAAAATTCCAAATGTGCTATTTTTCGCTCAAAGGGTAAAAAGCTTCAGATGGGAATAATTTTCTTAGTGTTGGAGGCCATGATGTTGCGCTTAGTGAAAATGTTCATTTTAGAATAAAATTTATTTAACTGAAAGAGTGCTAATAACATTACATGTATATAATAGTATTATTCTTCATTATTTGACATATTGTAATGTCGCTTGGGGAAACAATTTTAAGTAATTTATTGATGAGTTGAGAGTTGAGAGTATTGCAGAAGAAGGCAATGAGGCTTATTACTAATTCTAATTATAGACATCCAAGTTCCGACTAAGAATGCTACCACTAAGTGGACTTGCGTCGTTAAATTGCGTATTGTTTATGTTTAAACTTCAGTCTATGCCTCATGAATGAACGTTACAAGATTTATTCTGTCAAAACTCACAAATTAATAATTATAATACACGTCAAAGGGGTCTTATTCATCAGCCTTTTGCATGATCGAATATCACTCTGACCTCCCAGGTCGAAATTCCATTAGGATCCGATCCTATTGGACCATCAGAAACCATTAGAGCTATTGGTGTCTAATGGTTTCAATAGGGAAAGTGAAATGATGGACCCACAGAAACCATTAGAAAATATCTATTGGACCAACACAAACCCACAGAAAGAAATGCTGATGGACCAACAGAAAGCTTCTATTGGACCAGCATCCACCCATGTCTTCTATGGGTTTCTGTTGGTCCATTAGATATTTTCTTCTATGATGGGTTTCTGTTGGTCCATTAGATATTTTCTATGGGTTCCTGTTGGTCCATTAGAGATCTTTCTATGGGTTTCTAATGGTCCCATATTCTGAATTCCCTATTAAAACCAATAGTCCAATGGCTTCTATTGGTAAATCAATAATGATAAATCAAAATCGATTTTAGCAATTGTCCACCAAAAAAAGTATATTCTAATCTCAATTGCATTAACTTCATCACATAGATCACTTGAAGTGAGTTTGAGAATATCCTTTATTTTAACTGAAGGCTTGTACTATTCTATATAAAAAAATACATGAATTGTTTCTTGGTTAGTAATCATTATAATCAATATATCTATTGCTAAAACGTGAATGAAATTGTAACATGATTAAACAAATAATCTATTGGTCATTAGTTGCCGAAAGAAAATAAAAATCACAAAATTGATGTACATTGTCATAAGTTGCTTAACAAATTATGATAAATGTCATTTTCTGTGAACACGTATAAAGTAATCATGAATATGCATGAGATAGATTTAGCTGTTGGTTTCTATTGGTTTCTATTGGACCTATTGGTTTCTATTGGTCCCATTGGGTTCTATTGGTCTCATTGGTTTTCTATTGGTCCTATTGGTCCTATTGGTTCTATTGGTTTCTATTGGTCCTATCGGTCCTATTGGTCCTATTGGTTCTATTGGTATTGGTCTTATTATAAATTTACAATTATTATTATTATTATTATTATTGGTTTCTATTGGTCCTATTGGTTTCTATTTCTATTGGTGTCTATGGGTGTTATTGGTTTCTATTGGTTTCTGATGGTTTGAATGGTCTCTATTGGATTCAATTCTATGGGTCCAACAGAAACCAATAGACTCCAACAGAAACCATTAGAGACCAATAGAATTTGTCTAATGGTCTCTATTGGTCTCTATGGGATTTTCGACCTGGGCTCTTTCCATATCTCTTGCATCAAAGAATCAAACAGTTTGCCTGATGATATAACACGATTAGTACCACTCTTTCTAGGTTTTGAAGGTTATCTAAAATGTACCTATTTGGAAGACTGACATAACTTTGTATCTTAATAATTTCTCATTCTCAAATGTTAATAGACCACTTAGGACCTACTCATCATTGTGGTTGGTGTGTGTGTGTGTGTGCGCGCGCGTGTGTAAGTATGTTTGTGCTCTATATTATGTAGCTTAGTTTTGTCCATCCCTTGTTTATACATTACATTGTTTGTATTCACCTTGGCATATTGCTAATGCATGTATTGTGTTGACTATATGGCCCCGCTCACAAGCTTTGCTTCTACAGTGGTCCTAGAACCATTCATTTTATGATGCAATCAAGTTAATATATGTTGATTAATGTACTATTACCAGTTTTTTTTATGTAAAAGATTATATCCTGTTTTGTGTTGTTTTGAATAAAATAAACTTGATCTTGAACTTGAATAAAGCTGTTACAATTTTTGCAGCGTATAAGCTACATTGAGTTTCGGAAAACGGTTCCGTTTTTTGTGATGCACTGTATAGTGCCATACTTTTACTTTAAGGTCAGAAAATAGCTTTTGTTCAGATAGTTGCTATTTACATATCTTTTAAAAATGTATTACGTTATACAAGTAAATTTTTTTTTGTGTGTGTTCTTGCACTGACATAGACAAATAATGAGTTAGCAGTAATTACCTTTTAATGAATGTACATAGCTCTAAAACGTTGACTTTGAATAGTCAGTAAGAATGAAAACAAAACAATTATGCATCTTTAATATCAATTTCCTAAGTTTTTCAAATATAAGAATATCAAGCCTGCGTATTATAAAGAGTTGTGATTGATCTTAAGTTTAATCAATACACAATCAGCCATAGACTTACGCTTAATATTAAATTTACGATCAATCAAAAGACTTTATAATACATGGCCCTGGACTACACCTTGTGGTGAGTTGAAGAAGGCCTTTAGGAGTTCCATTCTGATACTTTGCATCTCCTGTAGCTGAGATGCGAGATGCAGGAGGTTGATTTACATCAAGTCAACATGGTCTCTCCATACTCCCGGGATGACATTGTGGTTTTCAGCCTCATGGTCCGCCTCTTGTGCTGCAATGCATTGATGCCTCCGCCTCAGTAGAATTACTGCCGCCTCAACCATATCCTTCACACTGTTCGGATTCTGCTCTAAAGTCCTGAGGAGACACCTGACTCTATTGGCTAGGATCCCAAAAGCATTGTCCAACACTGTCCTCCACCTTGAGAGTCTGTAGTTGAAAATCCTCTCCTCCCTGATCACTCCTCTTCTACCGTATGGCTTCATGAGGTAGTTCTTAAGTGCGAAGGAGTCATCACCCAGATAAAGAAGGGCAAGTTTTGTAGGTCATCAGGGATTGCAGTCAGAGGGCAGGGTGGGGGTCCTAGGGCTTCCTCTTCCTGGCCGTTGCATAGCTTAGAGTCACCAAAAATCTGAGCGCCTGACATGTGTCCTTTTCCACCGAGGTCGATCCACACAAACTTGTAATCTGCATCCACCAGAGACAGGAGTGGTATCGAAAAAAGGCCCTTAACATTTAATAAAGGCTTCATGGTAGCAATGTGTTTGCCATCCAGGGCTCCAATGGCATCGGGGATGTCTCATCTCTGTTTATACCGGTTATCTACGGCTGTCCAGGCTTCAGGGGTTACATGTAGGCTAACAATCTCATCTTTGTCCGCTTGCACAATCGCCTGGCACACTTTTGGAACCATCTCCGAGATGCTGGAAACTCCACACCTGAAGGAATACGAAATGGACCGATAGATGTGGCAGTGGCAAAGTGCCTCAGTGTCACTGCTAGTTTCAGTTCAGGTAAGAGGGGTTGCCTGAAACTGGTGCGTTCCCTCTCGATTGCTGGGGCCACCCTCTGCAAACAAAAAATATTCGAAGAGCTGTGGTGTTAACCTTGTGTAGTTTTGGAACGCTACTGGATCTTCCAGCCTCAATTGGGCGTCTAGGAGGCTCTAGAACTGGCCGTTGTCTCCTCTTCTCTGTGAGCCATGGTCGCACCCAGAACTGACTGACTACAGTTCTCCTGGTCCTTTGTGGTTGGGGCTGAGGCTGGTCTGGCTGCTGCTCGTCTTCTTCTTATATAAACTTACAGTAAAAATGCAAATGTCACGCTATCATCATCCTCAACCCCTGCCATCATCAATGGTTGTGGGTTGTAGTGTTCACTCTGTAGAAGTTTAAGAAACAATGAAGTCCATGGTCAGTCGGCCTGTATATATATATCCGTCGGGGTCCGATCGTAGCTCAGATCGTGATTACTCGTGAGAGACATCGTGACCATAATCGTACAACAGACCGCATCGGTTAGTGATGAACGGTTCGGAAGGTATCCGAACGTATCTGCACGTACCCGAACGTCCAGAATCGGGAACCGCGATCGTGATGATCGTGTCATATCGGGACCCAATCGAGGACTCAATCAGGTCAATCCTATCGGAACGTTTATGATCATATCTAAACGGGAGATCAGACCGTGCCACCTAAAATTGACCAATCGTGACCCTATCGCATCCAAGCGCACCAAATCGTACCAGAACGTATTGACTCGCATCACCTCGTTTTACAACCTGACATTTAAGAGAAGTTCCACGATCAGCTACAAATGGCGAATCGTGGGGTTCGTAACGGATCGCACGACAGTGGGAACCTTACCTGGCACTTAGATCGTGAGTTGTCATTGAAGACTTCGTCAATCTATATTCAAATTTATTTTAAAATTTTTGTTCAATATCCCTCCGTGAGCTCTCAAGGCCTTTGGAATATTTATCCTCCAGGTATGTAGGATTTAAAATGCTACCTCGCTAAACTTTTGGTATAATTAATTAATTAATTTATACATTGAGTGTTATTAAAATCATATGTTTTCAATCATTTGTTATATTAGTATTATCATTATTATTTGTATTAATTTATTTATTTATTTAGTCAATTATATTATTATTATTATCATTATTATTATTATTATTATTATTATTATTATCATAATTTTTTTTTTTTTTTAATTATTTATTTATTTATTTTTTTATTATTATTTATTTATTTATTATTATTATTATTATTATTATTATTAATATTATTATTATTTTTTTTTTGGGGGGGGGGGCAAACCTAATCTAAATGCCAACTTTTACATGTTTGTTTTCTTTTTTCCCCGTTATTGATCTGAGTTCTCAACAATGTCAAATATAGGTCTGGAAATGGACCATGTAATTTATTCAATTCTTGAAATCTTATTCTATTATGTTTATAAATTTTGATCTTCGCTGGCTTATAGTTGATATCTAAGAATATTTTACCAAATAAATACTAATCCCTAAGTTTTGGCCTATATCCCGTTAATGAGATCTTGATGAAGACTGATCAAATGCCATTATTGTATAGCCATTTAGCGATTAAGAAGGAATTCTAACCTGGCGCTACCAGTTGAAACTTCATCGGCTGCTGCTGCTGCATCTTGACAAGGAATTGAGACTGATGTAGATGGCGATGGTCTCGGGGATGTGGGAACTCTGTCTCCTAGTGATGTCTCGGTTACTCCTGATTGTAAGAGTGAGTAATTAGTTTCATTCCGTTAAAAAAATGTATTCATTATGTTCATGTTATTATTTGTGTAATCATGTTGAATTATGAATTGAATTACTATTCAACCACACAAATAATCATTTGCCATTGATTAAATCATGTTACCTCCTTTTATTATTATTATTTCTTGTTTTTGCTATCAGATAAAGAACAGCATACAATTCGTATTGGTGAGATAAAGTTTGAATTTCAAAATTTTGTATTGAATGATGTAAGCTAATTTCTTACATCTCAATTAAACTTCCGTCTGAAAATTGGAGTGGAAATAGCAAACAAAAAAAGCTAGAGATTAATCAAATATACCAAACACACAGTATGTGTGTTTTTATCTTAAAGAGGAAATTCCCAGTTTTCTTTTAAAGTTCCTGTTTGCCCATTGCACTCTCATAATGTCCGTCCGTGACAAAGAGTTTACCATCTCTGACAAAAGTTGGAGCTTGGTTTAAAATTCGATCGATGTGACAAAAAACAAAATCAACTTTCGTCATTAATATTTGCATTTGTTAGAAAAGCCGGAGTCAAGATTCCAGTTTCTCTCTCATCCATCAGTGGCAATGAACACCTTTTTCTATTTTAGGAGGTAACCCTGATAAACAAATGTTATACATTTCAACATCTCGTGTGATAATCTGTATTTATAACGATTTACTTCAATGCATTGGTTATCAAATAAAAATAAATAATTAGCACGATTAATGTAGTAACGGTTGCGGCTCATAGTCAAAGTGAAGCAAACAGCCTCTTTTTTTTTCTTTCTTTTTTTTTTTTTACTATAATCGAACAAACCAAATAAGCTAAACTATTTTTAAAACCCACCACGAGAAGCAAGAAAATGTGTTCTGAGCTTTGTGTACACGGAAACACGTTGTTTGTAAAAAAAAAAAATATATATATATATATATATATATATAAAAGAAAAGAATATTTCTTCAACCCTTGGTTTATTTCTACTCCAGTCGGACATGCTTTATATTTTCTTGTATTTATCACACATGTTCTTTTCTGGGTTTTCTTCCATGTTTATCTTTTTGAAAGGAGGAATACAGAAAAATGAGACCTCATGCCACTGATCATCTGGTCCAAATATTGCATGATTTTCACAAACAGGTAATTTTTATAAATGTTAGACCAAGCATCCGGTATTTTATGATCTTTTGGTAAGGGTCAGGGGTAATATTTCCTATAGTCAGAAAAGGAGATTTGATGGACCTATTTAAAAAAAAAAAATGATGTGCCCTGATGCGAAAAAAGGTGGTCAATTAAAATTCCATCAACAAGATTATGGTCATTTTGGTCACCTTTTGGCCAGAAATGACGATTTCATTTTCATTTTCGAAATCAATTGATCAGTGGATATTGGCATCCCTATTTTATATACAAAAAATGTGCGCTCATATAAGAACAACCGGTCTCATTGAATTCATTTACATAGTTCGGGCTGCTCTAGTAGTTTTTAGCTACTTTGAACCAAATTTTACTCGAATTTTGCAACAAACTAGACATTTCGGCAAGCAGGGAGAAATTCGTTTGGCTGTAATATCGAACAGACTATATGACTTGGATGATTGATCGCCTGATTAAAGGTAAAACTTTCCAAAAATTTCAATTTTTTTCTACCCCACTCTAAACATTCTAGTAAGGTTTGGTCACTCTTTGGCCAAAAAATAAAGTGGTTGAAATATTGTAAATTGATTTTAAGTGACCGACTGTCTTTAAAAATCTGCAAAATATTTTACATACAAGTTCGGTTACAAATCACATCTATCTATACTATGATACTATTTTGGAATTGATGTTGAATCATGTACATTCATTCAATGAAATTAATTCTTCTGATCTTGCCGATATGCATACACGTCAAAACCTACTAATCTATTGAATATAACTGAACATCTGGCCTGATCGGGGACAAAAATCTATACAAATTGTGTTTGAGGGATCAATTTGACTGCTTTTAATTCTTATCATGCCACAGGGCTAATCCCCATTGTGCCAAGCCCCAGATCCCTCAGTGCCAAGTTTATATTGAGATAATCTGATTAACGCAATGGTTCTATGAATAGCGCGTGTGCAAGACACACAGCACATTACAATGAGCATGAACAATAACTGCTACTACAAAAGTGTGCACGCACGCACATGGCACCATAGCAATAGCTTGCTCGCATGTGCAAAGCACTTTAACGAAAGCGTGCATGCAGCCTCATGGCAGGTTAAAGGTATCATGACACGTTTGTTTTACATTGAATAGGCCTATCAAAACCCATTTGCTGATAATAGCGATTAGGAAAATTACCCCTGCTCAAAATTAATATAGTTTTGGAAATTTTGACCCAAAAGTGGCCGAAAATGACCAAAGTATCGTGAGTAGGGTCGGCAATCTCGCACGGAAACACGTTTCCACGAAAGTTTATGTTATCCGACTACCAGATGGAATGAATGAAGACGCTTTTGCAAGGTTGGACTGAGTACTGTCCTGTGTCATGCCAAAGACGGTCGTGGGAATGGGGGACGTTATTTCATCAAATTCTTTCAAATCACATTCTATTCTATTTCCACTTTCGTCGAGTAAGATGGAGTTTGTTACCAAACAACATTTATCTATACACATCTGAACTGTAGTCGAAATGGACTTTGATGATGGCAGCGCGAAATCGTTAAATGAAAATATTGTCCCAAAACGAAAACAA